ACAGAAAGAACAAAACAGTTAGTTATCCAGTATATACTTCAGCAATGTGAACAACAGTATAGTACAACACCAATGAGTTCTTCATCATGTCAACATGTACTCCTATTAAAATAATAATGTACTCTGTAGTACATGTAGCACAGCTGTAGCTGTATCATATGGAATTCATGTACTTCTAAATACTCTAACCAAGTAGAAAATAAATCTGTTGCAACTTGAGATGCAGTAAATGTTGTCAATATGTATGATAGGCCTACATGTTTTGTCAGGGCTGGGATCTAAAGACTAAATATCTGTATATTGTAGACTTACAGTAAGTTGTACGTTGATGGAATATCTCAATATGCATAATGTATCATTATTCAAACTTATTTTTCAAAATAAAGTTGACATTTCCAATGACATGAAATGTATGCTGTGCTTTTAGTAATTTTATACCACTTACTGAGTCCTGCAGGATATAAAGCAAATCATGAAAATGTATGCACTCACTAACTGTAAGTCGCTCTGGATAAGAGCGTCTGCTAAATGACTAAAATGTAAATGTAAAATGTAAATGTTTCTCATGGAAAGAAGGATGTAAAGATCACTCATTCACTAGAAACTAGCTGAGTTTCCAAATAAGTGGAAAGATACACTCAACTTTGTGTCCTTAGAGATTCCCCTCTCTTTATGATTCATACTATAGTAAAACCTACTATGGGTTGTCTTGGAAATTCTACACAGGGACACTCGAAGTCAAACTTAAATGAATAATTGTTTATTAACAGCATGCTGGAGAGGTCACAGACAAACTTAGATGCATAAAGTACCGGTCTGAAGTGAGCTCCCCCGGGGCAGTCCCGTTAGTTCTCTTATTTACTGCTTACACAGACAAGTTATATTTGCATAATTTAGCTTATTCATCATTCATAATTAATTCATCATTAACGTTTGGTTCGTGCATGTGACCGACCAATACCTCACGAGGCTTCTTCTCTCCAAGCTGAGACCTTGAAACTGTGATATCCCTTACATTCTCAAAACAACAAGGTTCTGGGCGTACAACCAAATTGCTTTACTGCTACTGAAGATTCTTCCCAGGCACATTCAATCAGTCACTTGCATGAACACATAAATTGGTTATTAGAACAACACAAACATAGAACAAAGAATTTGGTTATTAGAACAGCACAAACATAGAACACAAAAATTGGTTATAAAAAATACACAAACATAAAATTTTCCATCACAGGGTAGAGCGTGCAGTGGACACAACACAGAGTTTGCAGTTCCCAATAATCAATTTATTAAACACATAGAATATCCCCCAATAACCCAGCAGAGCTAGCAGAACCCATGAATAGACAGCCCAGTACCCTAACGCTTTCCCTACCTTACCCTGCCTATCACCCGGTCCTTGCACTTAATCCCTAAGCACTATACCTCAGAAAATAAACTAAACAAAAGGGGGAAAATAAGATGATAAAGCAAAGGGACATCAGATATCGTCTATGAATGTTAAGGAAGGGGGGAGTCTATTAAATGGGGGAAACTGGAAGTGGTGTGGGGAGCACTTAATTTAGATGGAGCAGAAGAGAGTGGGATAAATTCGCCCAGGGGACAAGCCCCATGGCCGTAGGAACCAGTCAGGAAGTGGGGGTCCCTCAGGCACATCTACACCTCAACTCTGACTGTGAACACGTAATTTTCAACCCGTAGGCCCAACTCAGTTTGTCACGCTGCGCTTGTTCCTGTAATCCTTGTTGGCGGAAGTAGGGCTGTGGCGGTCACGAAATTTCGTCAGCCGGTGATTGTCAAGCAAATAACTGTCGTTCTCACTGTAATTGACCGTTAATTAACATAAACACATTTAGCATCTCCTGGCTTCCACACATAGCCTACAGGCCACTGATGCAGACCTTCGGAACATCTACATTGTAAAAAGTCTAATAAATCCATGTAATATAGCCTACACCTTCACTAGAAATCCATTATTTATTTTAGACAGGTATAAAGAAACATGATATGAAGAAAATGTTGTCTATTTCAGAAGAACAGAATCGCATACTTTGAGTTGTCCTTATGTTAGGCCCTGATCTGGCTATGCCAAATGGCTGTGGGCTACACAAGTTCATTTAGTAGACAAGATTTGCTTACAATTCCGTGGCATTATTTTATATTATTTTATAGTATGAAGAATACAATTGAACAAAGCTGAATTAAATAGAAAGGATATTTTCTCTAAACGATTTGAGGAAGTGTGCACATGCGGCTATTCTGAGTTGAGCGGTTAACAAAGAAATAGGTACTCCTATATGCTTAATTTAGAGTTATTAATGTAACTTTAGTTGTTCTACAAACGTTGGGCTATATGTATAGATGTTTTATACATTGTAAGGCTGCATGATGCGACTTTAAGGATGATTTGAAAAAAGTAGCTTGAAAGGCACGAGCTCTGCTTTGTTTTTTGCGCAGGCTGTACACTTCATCGGTCTCTCATTACCAATTTCACAAGCACTTGCTAATGCCTCGCATTTCCCGGCGGCATCCCATTTGTGTGGCCATAATGCACCCTAAACAAATCCATGCCTTTTGCGGCCAGTGGCCGTTGTGCCCTTCGCCCGGAGTGGTGCGTTGTGCCCTTCTCCCTGAGTGCTGCATGCTCCGAAGCACCTCTCACTCACATGGCTCTCCATCACGTGATCGGGTCTTTCTCACAGGCTACAAGTGAAGACAGACACATTGGGAACACAACTGCGTGCGTCCTTATCCAATTCCGAGGTGCATATTGAAGATATTGGAAGAACTGTCTACATTTACTTTTCATCAGCCAACAAGATGAGTAGGCCTAACGAATATCAAAAGCACTAGCCTATGTCAATCTACTATCCCCCATAATACAAAAGTTGACCTATTTTATTTTGTGTGAGAAATAAATATTCCAAACATAGTCTGGGACAGTTGTGGGATGCGATAGATCCCAAATGAATACAACCACAAGCATCCCAAAAACATTCTTTACACAATGTGGCTGACGCAACAGATCAGAACGTTTAGCTTCAAATGTTGATAAACTATTAGGCTATTTCTTCACATTATAAGCGCAGCAATGCGCAAACGGCAGAAGGCTATAAGCGCAAATGTTCCATTAGCGGGAAAACACCATTATCAAAAGTGACCGCAAATGTGATTATGCATGTAATGCTTTTATTATAAAGGTGCATTTTTATGGTGAAAATTATCTTCCCCAAACTTGAAACTCACGCGCTGCTTATGTATGCCAGTTAGGCTCTACACCACTTGTAAAGCGGATTAATGTGCTTAATTGTAAGAAGTTATTTGGCCACTTTAGTTGTGATACAAACCTTATCAAAATATATAGGCCTACGGGCTAGGCTACATGAGGTGTGATTCTTGCTTTAAGCTGGGCATCATTCACAAGTAATAATAACAATATGCCATTTAGCAGACGCTTTTATCCAAAGCGACTTACAGTCATGTGTGCATACATTTTTACATATGGGTGGTCCCGGGGATCGAACCCACTACCCTGGCGTTACAAGCGCCGTGCTCTACCAGCTGAGCTACAGAGGACCACAAGTGATAATATATAATTCACAAGTGATAGGCTAATATTGTCACCCATCAGACTATTCTTGATATAATCTTGTCTTTATATATACTAAATAATATGTTTGAAATTTGTTTTGATTTAGAATGGACCATTATCATGCACCTGTCTCGAAACAGGGGGAAAAAATACATGTCATCTATGCACTTAAATAGCGAATGGAGGACACTTTTCCAGCGGTTCATTTTCATGCCAGCCTGGTAGGCTAAAGAGAAGCAATGTGCTTAACATTAGGAATGTTGAGAAATAAATATAGTAGGCTTAGCCTATAGAAAGCTGATGGGATCCTCTTCTTTTTAATAGAGGTCATCACTCTGTTTTCTCGTGCAATTGCATAGCCTGTAGAAATGTTGTGAAACATGAGCTCATGGGGTCTCATGAAGTGGTTGATTAGATTTTCGATTACATTTGCATTGATGTCAGAGTGATTAGAGGGACAATAGAGTGCTGATTACCAGGCAGTTAGCAAGTTTGGTAGGCTACTAATGACCATCAGCAGCATCAGAGCTTGGAGAAGCCTAATTCCTGTGACTAAATGGTTATGTGGAATTTGACTGCCTTCATGACTCGTGACTGCCGGTGTGGCGGTAATACAGTCACCGCAACAGCCCTAGCCGGAATGCCAATGGCAATGTTTGTATCCATTAGGCAATGATTTTTCGGCTACAGCCAGGTTCGGTCTCTTATTGAACAGTGCAAACCGTGTTCTTCTTCAGACCAAAGTCCTGACAAAGTTCACGCGAGCACCCCTCCTCTTCGGCCGATGCCAACCTAGTACTTATCGCTCTTCAGCCGAGGCCAGAAACACAGTCTGTGTCAAATGGTTACGCAGCTCTTAATCTTCAGACAAATACCCATCTGGCTCAGTTGGTTAGAGTATAGTGTTTGTAACGCCAGGGTTGAGGGTTCAATTCCCATGGGGGACCAGTATGAAAATGTATGCACTCACTACTGTAAGTCGCTCTGGAAAAGAGCGTCTGCTAAATGACTAAAATGAATGCCAAACGCTGTCCTAGCTCGCACACTCCTGTCTTCGGCATAAACCAGGCTTAGCTATGTTAGCTAGAGCGATACTCTTCGGCCTAATGCCCAACACTCAGTCTGTGCATCTATACACACACTGTTCTTCGGGCTCTGCACTACATTGCTGGTAACAACTCTTGCTGTAGCTTTACCACAATGAAAGAGTTCTTCACGCCGTGTCCACAACGCAATTGCTCCCAACACCAGAGAATGGGGTTTCCTACCCATTCCTCAATATAGAGTCCTGTCCTACTCGCACCTGTGCAGTTCCCCCTAGTTAGCAGCATGCAGGTGAATTAATCAATGTGTGGCCATTTTGTCTATAAACTCAGTTTATCATAACACTAATAAGTAATGAATACTGATTCTCATCCAGGTAGGACTGCAGTAAGCAGAAAAGCCTTTTCCAATCAGAGAGGTCCTTCGCAGCCAGTGACTCCAGAGATTCATACCTCTTTCTGTCCAGGCTGAAATTTTGTCGGATAAAAATACAGATTTAAAGAATGGTATCTCTCAGCATAAGGAAGGCAAAGGAAAAGTATTTGATCGCCACGTCATGGTTAAGTAGGTCTGTATCAAAGACAAATACTGTAACTGGATCTATGGGCATTGACAGGATACTATACAATAGTAAATTACTTCAGCATACAGAACAACTGAGGAGAAAGCAAGCTAACTCACTCACAGTTGAGAGAAGGGCAACAAAAAGTCACATACCCTAAGAAGGATGTATAATTATTTGGTTTTGCTCTGTGGTCTATAGGCTGCCCACATGATCTTTGGGTCTGTGTAGTTGAACACCTCATACAGTTGGGGGTGGTACAGTCCATCAGGCCTCTACAGACACATGGATACATTACCTCAGAACCATCCTGACATCTTCTGGAAAGATGTGGTAATGCATGTATGATAAAGGAGAAATATTGATACTATTGAATTTACTATGCCCACACCCTCCTTTTTTTCATCCTACCATTAAACACTCCCTTCTTCTTAATTTGTGAAGACATTTTAAAACAGACAGTGACTGTGGGGGTGGGTTCACCTTATTACGTGCTGAACGTGACCAGAACATATAGGTTTTACCTTCACATGTTTACCATAAGATACAATGTTTTACCATTGTGATAGTATGTCTAATCATCTGTAGTAATCTCATTATAATCCATGCTGAGTACACATATGATTTACAAAATGTATGTGTTATTGATTATGAGAATAAAAAAAGGTACTGTTTTCTTGGTGCCCTCTGAGATCCATGGGGTGTGTAGAGTTGGCTTTAAGATAGCTGGAATGTGCTCCTGGACAATGGACTCGTAAAATATGTAATAAAAGCCCACCATGTGCTTCTAGAGATAGCAGGCAGGGAGCAGAGCCATTGTTCAGGGAAATATGGAGGGAATTCTTTCTGGTATGGATGATTTACTGCAGGGAAAATGTTACTGTTCCCTTTACGTCTAAATCAGGTTTCCCCAGACCCTATTAACAATACAGGTAGCTCTAGTAGCTTTAGTATATTATGTAGGTTCACATGGTGCTTTGATGAACAATGTTCTATAGATATACTGTATAGGGCCAAATGTATTTCTATGAGGGTGGGGGGCACACTTAATACTAATATTAAAATAAAAAGAAGAATATAAAGTGACTATTCATGTTATAACACCTTGACAATAGCATATGGTCGTACTGTATAAAATTGAGAGCTCGGATGGTACTGATATAATGAATCTCTATGACAGCAGCTCACCCCTGCCTCTTGGCACTCGTCAACGATGCCAGTTTGTTGGATTTTCTGTGAATGCCATGAGCTTTTCCCATACTGACCAAAACCCTCCGAGCTCTACAGAGATCAACACACAACACCCAAACAAACACTCAGAGGCGTCTAATGGCATAATTCTAACTTGGGACATATCTGATATTTACTGTGTGGAGTTTCTGAGAAAAAGAGGCTGTTTCCCATTGCCCACCTCCAGAGGAATTCAGGAACAAATGTGCGATACATAGAGAATTATGTACGAAACCCACTGAGGGACAGACAGGGCTATTAAACCCACCACTTCACAAAGCAGGGAGAGTTACAACTTCAAAACCTTCAGGTCTTGATAAATGCCAAGATCTTACAGTAGATGTCATAAATTATATTCTTGACACCAGCTAATATAATGGATGCAAGTATTGAATACCTACCAAAGCATTTATTCTCCACACAGAGGGTGAGGTGGGTATACTACTAGCTACATAACTTTCCTGCTAAAGCTAGCAGCCCTCTTATCAGGCTCTTTCCTGTCTCCTTCAGGAAGTGTTTGGCCTCTGAGGATGTGCTGTGGTACAGAAAACAGACATGGATGAGCGGCACTCTGTTCAGCTGCCTGACAAATGACCATTAAGGGGATTGCTTACCTCAAATGCTTGATGGATCGCACTGAACTTGATATTGATGAAGACATCATCCTCACTTTCTGGCAGGTAAGGGCTGTGATAAGAGTACAGGGGGACGTTTCACCAAGTGTTAATGTTCCTTGACTGGTCAGCTTGGTTGCCATAGAGACAAGGTATGTCATCTTTGCACATATTGAGCTCTATTCAATTCTTGGCAGAGCGCTCACCTCCAGTTTTGGGATATTCTCTGTGTAGCCCACAGAGAATCTCCTCTCCAAGCTTACACTGCTCTGGAGGTACAGTCGTTGAACAAGGTCACAACAGAAGATCTGAATAAATCCAGTATCAAGTGTCTATAGACCAACTCTGACTTCTATTACCTCACAGCAAGGGAAATACACTATATATACAAAAGTATGTGGACACCCCTTCAAATTAGTGGATTTGGCTATTTCAGCCACACCCGTTGCTGACAGGTGTATAAAATCGAGCACACAGCCATGAAATCTCCATAGACAAACATTGGCAGTAGAATGGCCTTAATGAAGAGTTCAATGACTTTCAACGTGGCACCGTCATAGAATGCCACCTTTCTAACAAGTCAGTTCGTCAAATTTCTGCCCTGCTAGAGCTGCCCCGGTCAACTGTAAGTGCTGTTATTGTGAAGTGGAAACATCCAGGAGCAACAACGGCTCAGCCGCGAAGTGGTAGGCCACTCAAGGTCACAGAACGGGACTTCTGTCCTCGGTTGCAACACTCACTACTGAGTTCCAAACTGCCTCTGGAAACAACGTCAGCACAACAACTGTTCGTCGGGAGCTTCGTGAATTGGGTTTCCATGGCTGAGCAGCCGCACACAAGTCTAAGATCACCATGCACAATGCCAAGCGTTGGCTGGAGTGGTGTAAAGCGCGTCGCCATTGGACTCTGGAGCAGTGGAAACGCATTCTCTGAAGTGATGAATCACGCTTCACCATCTGGCAGACCAACAGACGAATCTGGGTTTGGTGGATGCCAGGAGAACACTATCTGCCCCAATGCATAGTGCCAACTGTAAAGTTTGGTGGAGGAGGAGTAATGGTCTGGGGCTGTTTTTCATTGTTCGGGCTAGGCCCCTTAGTTCCAGTGAAGGGAAATCTTAACGCTATAGCATAGAATTACATTCTAGACGATTCTGTGCTTCCAACTTTGTGGCAACAATTTGGGGAAGGTCATTTCCTGTTTCAGCATGACAATGCCCCCGTGCACAAAGCGAGGTCCATACAGAACTGGTTTGTCGAAATCGGTGGGGAAGAACTTGACTGGCCTGCACAGAGCCCTGAAATCAACCCCATCGAACACCTTTGGGATGAATTGGAAAGCCAACTGCGAGCCAGGCCTAATCGCCCAACATCAATGCTCGACCTCACTAACGTTCTTGTGGCTGAATGGAAGCAAGTCCCCACAGCAATGTTACAGCATCTAGTGGAAAGCCTTCCCAGAAGAGTGGAGGCTGTTATAGCAGCAAAGGGGGACCAACTCCATATTAATGCCCATGACTTAGGAATGAGATGTTTGACGAGCAGGTGTCCACATACTTTTGGTCCTGTAGTGTACATCTCCTCTGAGATTGAGTCTTGCTGGAGCGTCCCCTCATGTGAACTTGTACAGTATTTATTGGGAAAACATTAATTTACATTTTTGTCATTTAGCAGGTGCTCTTATCCAGAGCGACTTTCAATAGTGATGGCATACATTTTCCCCCTGTGGAATCAAACCCACAACCCTGGCATTGCAAGCACTATGCTCTACCAGCTGAGCCACACAGGACCACATATTGTACCATCCTAAATGTATTAGTATTTGACTTGTATACAGTACCTTCTCTTTCTGAGCCAATCAGAGCCTAGCAGAGAGCCTCAGGTCTCCCCAGGGCTACGTGCCATAGAGCCTGCACCACAGGCCTGTCTCTGAGGACCTCCAAAGCAACACATAACAACATCAATCACGGTTCACCGTTTTCTATTTCTCATATTTTAGATATCACAATTTGACACAGATATCTTATCTGCTAAAGGAAGGTTGAAATCTTTGTTTTTGACTACCTGTTTCGAGGCATTGTTCTCTTGGCGCTGGTCAGATGAGGGTGCCACTGCATCCCTAAAATCATTGTAATGCAACATTTTAGTGGTTTACAACATGACACACATTTCTACAAAGCCACATTTTCACAGAATGCCAATTAAATGACCAAAATGACATGCAATAATTATTGCTGTAAAATGTTGTCAGTCTGTAATGCTTCTAAAATGTTTCTTATTTTTTCAATTCATTGTGATGTCATTGCAATGGTGTGACTACTTCCAAAGGCAACAACCTTGAAAAATGTAAAGTTGTATCAGGTATTGAAAATATGTTCAATTATAAAGAGAAAAAGTATTGGGTTTACTTTGGTAACATCTACAAACCCATATGCTGCAATAGAGGTTTTCTCAATAAATTAAGAGGGGACATACTTTTTTGGAGTTATGTAAAATACATTAATTCTGCATTATTATGTATTTGCACTTACTGTAAGTACCAAGATTCATGTAATGGAAATATATCCATCCAAAATTATCGGTCCTCACAAATGTGTTTCAGCACATTCAAAGCAACATGGCAAAAATTATTGTCCAGGGTAAATAGAGGCCCAACCAATAGTTTTGTATTTACAATGCATTTTCATTTACAGATTATTTACAACCATAATGACTTCCATCAGTTAGTGATAAAATCGTACAAATGCTATACTTTATTTTAATTTAACTCAGCTAAATAACTTTATCAAACATGTTGTTTTGATCCTGTATGCTGATTGATTGATAGCAGAGAGTTATAGTACCACAATCCATGAATTCCACGAGTAATGCCTGTTAACAGTTCCATTAGATTTATCAATGCGCATCCACTGTCCCACGGCCCAGCCAGTCAATTTTTTAACCTCATCTCCCCTGGGAAAAAAGTGTCTAGACAATATTTCCCCATGCTACTAGCCTAACATTTGGTTTGGTATCGGGGGTTAATAGGCTGCGTTTAGACAGGCAGCCCAATTCTGATATTTTTTTCACTAATTGGTCTTTTGACCAATCAGATCAGCTCTGATAAAGAGCTGATGTGAAAAGATCTGATGTGATTGGTCAAAAGACCAATTAGTGGGGAAAAATATCAGAATTGGGCAGCCTCAAAACACAGTCATATAAGCCTCACTGTGTACCCATTCAAGCAGTTTTATGGGGGGGATCTCCACTGTGCCATGCATATGAACTCTGATCCAGGCAAATTCATTTATCAGGATCATTATAACGGATATATCCAAAGAATTGGCGATAGAAACAAGAGTAAAACAAACAAAAATGCACATAGTTTGTCATTTCAGCTGTTTGATGTGATTGTGTATTACCTGTAGTTGGCTAGCTAGCAAAAGAGAAGTAACAATAGCCAGCTATCCTCCATAACTATCTTATTTACTCAATGATCAGCTGGTGGTTGCCTATTTATAAATTATTTATTAAATAATGATTTATTGAAGTTCTTGTCTCTCTTGTAATCATTAAACCTCTACTAGCTAGCTCCATGCCAATGATTCAAAACATGAGTATTAACGACCAGCTTGTTTGGTTAGCAACTTCAGAACTAAAAACTGGCTTTTGCCCGGGCTACATCGTCTGGTGGAAGGATGAAATGAAACTAATTTACTGATTAAAATAACATTTTAATGAAAGCATGTTGTTAATCTTTAAAAAAAATATGTTGGCAACCGTTTTATAAAAGCAATAAGACCCTCGAACCCGGGAATTATCGTGTGATAACTCCCTCCTAAGGGCTGTTACCTCGGGCCTAAGAACAGCCCTTAGGAGGGAGTTATTGCACGGTAATCCCCGGGTTCTCATGTCTTATTGCTTAAATACTACCCCCTTTGGGAATAATGTGGATTAATTATTAATGCTTGTTTTCCCCAAACAAGCTGGATTAAACTGATTATATTTAACTGATAATGCCCGAGAAGCCGGTGTTTGGAAGATATATTGGCATGGGTGTTAGGCCCAAGGCGACATCGAGATCAAATCCAGATGGATTTTTAAAAAGCAGACATTGAATATCCCTTTGAGCATGGTGAAGTTATTAATTACACTTTGGATGGTGTATCAATACACCTAGTCAATAAACAGATACAGGCGTCCTTCCTAACTCAGTTGCCGGAGAGGAAGGAAACCGCTCAGGGAAATACACCATGAGGCCAATGGTGACTTTAAAACAGTTACAGAGTTTAATGTCTGTGATAGAAAACTGAGGGTGGATCAACAACCTTGTAGTTACTCCACAATACTAACCAAAATGACAGAATGAAAAGAACAAAGCCTGTAGAGAATAAATTTTTTCCAAAACATGCATCCTGTTTGCAATAAGGCACAAAAGTAAAACTGCTAAAATGTGGCAAAGAAATTAACATTATTTCCTGAATAAATAAATAAATAAAAAGTGTTATGTTTGGGGCAAATTCAACACAACACATCACTGAGTACCACTCTTCAGATTTTCAAGCATGGTGGTGGCTGCATCATGTTATGGGTATGCTTGTCATCGGTAAGGACTAGGGCGTTTTTTTAAGACAATAACCTAAAACACAAGGCCAAATATACACTGGAGTTGCTTACCAAAATGACATTGAACGTTCCTGAGACTTGAAAATGGCTGTCTAGCAATGATCAACAACCAACTTGACAGAAGTTGAAGAATTTCTAAAAAATAATGTGCAATATTGTACAATCCAGGTGTGCAAAACTCTTAGAGACTTACACAGAAAGACTCACAGCTGTAATTGCTGCCAAAGGAGATTCTAACATGTATTGACTCAAGGGTATGAATACTTATGTATTTCATTTTCAATACATTTGCAAAAATTTCTAAAAACATGTGTGCACTATGTCATTATTGGGTATTGTGTGTAGATGGGTAAGAAAAATATGAATTTAATCCATGTTGAATTCAGGCTGTAACAAAACAAAATGTGGAATAAGTCAAGGGGTATGAATAGTTTCTGAAGGCACTGTATCTACCAGTGGAGGCTCCTCAGGGGAGGAAGGGGAGGACCATCCTTTTAATAGTAAAACATTAAAAAAGTTATAATTTCGATAAAACTATACTAAATATATTCACGTCACCAAATAATTGATTAAAACACTGTTTTGCAATGAAGGTCTACAGTAGCCTCAACAACTCTCTGCAGGGTAGCACCATGGTGTAGCCGGAGGACAGATAGTTTCCGTCCCCCTCTGGTTACATTGACTTCAGAATTTTAAAAGGCATTTTGAACTACATTTATGAGATTTATGAGATTAGTTTATGCGCACATGATAATGATTATAAATCAGAACAAATGTCAGAATGATTTTATTAATTGTTAAGGCGTGTGGGACTTGTGCTGTGTCTTTCACAGTACTTAGAATACAGTGTTTTCCACATGCAGTATGTGGACAGTTGCAATGTATCATTATCATGTTAACACTGAAAAATAGTAAGATTGTCTCACCCAATGTTCAAGAAGGGATCTTTTCCCTTTATTCAGATTACAACCACTCACTTTCAGGTATTTTAAAAGGAAATCATCTCCCAAATATCACTATTTCTAAAACAAGCCATAGAAAGTTGGTTGCAATTTCAATTTAATCCTCCAGAAATGACAGAACAAATATTGCAAGAAATATTGTGGTTAAACTCAAATATACTAATTGATTAAAAAAACGTAATTTTTTGAAAAAATGTTTTAAAAAGGTATAATCTTCGTAAATTATATTATCGGTAGGAATGGTGGAGTTATGCAGCGAACAAAAACATATGGAAATGTCTTCTCTACCCAAAATTACAACCAAATAATTGCAGCATTACCGCAAAAATGGAAGAGGAAAGTGGAAGGAGGCAAAAGTAAGGAACTTGCCTGTCGGCCTTACATTAAAGAACATAATTGGTTAAAGAAAAAGCTGACCCTGCAGATAGCACTACTGGGTGATCTGAAAAGTCATAGTCAATCGATCAATAAAATAATAATACTTTTAGCAAAAATGTTTATTTTCAATTCACAAACTGTAGAAACAATGAGAATAGAAAGGTTCAGAACTTTTGTAAAACATCACAGTACAGTTGAAAAAGATATGGCAAATAGAAATCCAATATGGATGGTGTTAAGAGATAGATGGGAGGTGTTGAATGGAGCTGAAGGATGGGACTAATAACAACAAGATAACTAGTGTAAGACATGCTGTGTCCATAATAAGTATATACTGTATATTGTGAGCTTTTGTGAAAGAGCACAGTTAGAAAGATATGGCAAATAGAAGCATACCAGATGGACATCATGAAAATGATCGGAGGAAGTTCAGGAGTAAAAACAAACAAAATAGAATTATTGACTGTGTCCATAAAATTTATATAGTATGTATAAGCATGAAGTAGAGGCCTAAGCATTGTTGTTCACTAGTTTACTCCAATTAGGGAAGGGATGGTGGGGTTGGAAAGTAATAAAGGGAAATATATATATTTTTAAAGGATATGTATGTATATATATATGTATGTGTATGTATGTATGTGTATATATATATATATATATATATATATATATATATATATATATATATATATATATATATATATATATATGCAAGAAAGAAAAAAAAACATATGGGGGATTGGAAGTGATGCAGACAATTACATTGATGGAAGTTATAATCTATCTGCAATATTAAAGCTGATCTACCCCCTAAAAAAAAACTGATGAAAAATAATTGATGTTTTGACACCCCTGAAAACCAAAGTCCTCAGCTCCATAAAAGTGTGTCAAAGTAAAGTATTTGACCAGGCTATACATCTTAACGCTTTAAAAGCTAAGCATTGTTACACTTTATGATTAATAATTTTTTTTGTTCTGCTTGTGTGAGATAACAGTAACAATATGACCTGTGGGTGAACAAGCTTGAGAAATGCTTCAACATGACATATTTCAGGAGATATCGTATCAGAGAAACACAAACAGTAACTGAAGAAGTAAATGTAATGAGTCTTATTCGCCAAGGTCAACCCTCCTGAATCACACTGTAAGACACTGGCAGGGAGTCCTATCCA